TGAGTTTGCATCATGGACGTATAAATAAAGAAGGACCGGGCTATTTACATCTTTACATGAAGCCATGAGATCGTCACAGTCATAGACACAAATCCCTAATTTGACGTTGTCATATTATTTTTTTCCTTTTTCAAGACACAATCTTCGAAATAATTTTCGATTTTTAGTATAATTTATTTTTAATTTATAAATAAAAATGTATTATCTAGTTAGTATAAACTATTTTTAGATATATTCATTTCGCAACCTAGGAATTAAAAGAAAAACATTAATTTTTTAATTTATTAAAGGAAAATATATTCTGATAATGTTACCTTTATGTAAAACTTGGCATCTTTGGTAATATTAACCAATCGTAGCGATTTGAGGAAAAGGACATTTGAGTTGATAATTTCCTTATTTGTGACATTTTAGTGAATTTTTTAATATATTTTAAATTTGAATTGAAGAATAGTTAATAGTTAAGTGTCCTAATGATGCGCAACTGTGTTTTATGCAGAAAAACCGCATATTTACATACAGAACTGTCATTTCATTCAAGTATTATAAACATTGGTTTTACGTCCATGGGCGTAGTACAGCGATGTGATATTACTTAATTCTTGACATGAATCGAAATTTAATTTTGTGAAATAAAGTAAATTTTGTAGTATTATAAATACATTTATTTATTTTTTTCTAATCTACACTATAATTGCTATAAATATATTAGTTTCAATGAAATATATGCAGGTTCCCAGTAAAGAATCAACAGCTGCTGGATATGTGGTTGTCTATGTTCGGCTTAAATAAAGAACAGGTAACCAAAACTGCTATGGTCTGCTCAGAACACTTTGGAAAGAATGATCTAATTATACCACCAATTGGACGGGTTAATTTGAGGCAAGGAACTGTTCCAATAAATATGTATCATAAATCATCAGAACTAAGGTAACTATAACGAATTTCTATGTAATTTACTAAAGAGAGTATAATAAATATAATGCATACTCATAGCATATTAACTCAATGTTTCAGTTCTACAAACGATATGGAAAATAAAGAAACAACTTCCAGTAGTATTGATATGGATGATTTTTATGGACCTTCAAAAAGGTGAGCTTGTATCGAATTTGTGAATTAAATTTACAAATAAATCTAAATGTGGGGTTTGATTACTTATTTCATTTTAATATTAAAACTACTCACACTATTTTTGGAGTTTCATTGATACTGAAGAATGTAATATTGAGACAGACTTGGGCTTTTATGTAAAATCTAATTCTCCTAAACTATTAAAAAGGAGGTGAGTTTTGGCTAAATTCTTTATGAGATTATTTCAATCTTAAACCAATTTTAATATTTTTCTTTAATGTACATAAATTGAATATTCTAGATGTTTAAATGACAATGAAGAAAACAAGGAAAATATAGATACAAAAAACGCATCTTCGAGCACCAATACAGCATCAGAAACTGAAACTGTAGAGTTGTTACTGTGATAATACTTTTTCATATGTTCCACGTAATATTTATAACAAGTGAGTTTTTAGTTTATTTTATAAAAACAAGGATTATAACTATGAAAACCTAATTATATGTTTTAGAAATAAAACCGTTGAAGACATGTCTAGCAGCGATTTTTCAACACCTGAAAGGTCCAAGAAACATTTTAGAGCGTTAAAAAATACTGTTAAGAGTCAAAAAAGTAAAATAAAGTATTTACAACAATCTGTAAAAAGAATGAAAACAAAAATTACATCCTATCCAAAATTATTAACAATTTATAAAAGCCCGACTTATGTCCTTTCTTGTTGAAATCCACAGTTTATCACAAAGTCAGTTCAGCTTTTTATCTAATAAATGTAAAAGTGATGCTATGTTTTTCTGTACTACATGAGGTCTATCAAGCACTAAACAATAATCTTTACACTGCCACTGTTTTTTGTGCCAAATCTTTTGATTGTGTAATTCACATTTTGATAAAAAAACTTAATTTCTACGGAATTCGCGGTATTTCTTTGAATTGGTTCCAATCTTGCTTGAGAAATAGGAAACAAACAGTTAGAGTAAATCATACTGACTCTAGATACAAAAGCATTGAGTGGAGTACCACAATGTTCAGTACTGGGTCCTCTACTTTTTCTTATGTTTAACTCTTCATGCAATTATAACTTCTGAACAACTTAAAATAAAAACCTAGTCCGACTATAACTTACTCTCTTTTAACATGAATAAGACAGTAGCATTATCCTATAAAGGAGCTCTTCAACCCTTGCTTCTTAATAACAGCCAGATCAGTATCGTTGTTTCTTTAAAATTCCATGGTATTTTTACAGACAGCAACCTTAAATGGCTCCTTTATATCAATTTGTTAAGAAACTAGTCTCAGCCAGCTTTGCAATAAGATCTGTTTCGAAGCAGAATTTAGCATCTTCCAAAATAACATATTTTTCTTTGTTCGAGTCTCATCTTCTATATGGCCTTTCTTTTTGCGGTTCTAGTACAGCTACCCAATATAATGTTATTTTTAAATTACAAAAAAGAGCAATACGGTATCTTTTTGGCCTTAGTAGAATAACACATTGTAGAAACTACTTCAAAAATCACGGGATTTTAACTCTTCCCTCTTTGTATTTTGTATATTCTAGAAACTGTTTTCTTAATTTTTAAACACCTACATGTTCTTCCAGCAAGACCCAATCATGAATATTCCACCAGAAATTCAACCTTTTATGTGTATTTATCGATTCCGTCCACTAAGTTAGTAAAGAAATCTATATTATATTCGGCAAAAAAAATATACAATTAACTCCCTTTGCAACTTAAATCTACAACTTCTTTCCTTAAGTTCTGTAAATTGACAAAAGCCTATCTATCTAAAAGACCATATTATTCAGTGGAGGAGTTTCTTAACGAGAAAATAAGAAATGACAGTACGTTTAGGTACAAGCAACTAAAGTATGATATATTTGGGTATCACATGCAGCAACTAAAACTTATTCGTAAACTACTTCCTAAGGTTTTATTATGCAATTTGCAATTTATTTTGCAATGAATTGTATATTTTACTTTCTTTTATTATGCGATATTGACAATTTTTGTAATTGTAGTAAATTTTAATTGTTATTGTTATTTTTTTTTAATTTTATTGTCACTGAAAATTGTACAATTTTCAGTGACAATAAAGCATATTTCTATTTTAGAACCCTACCCGTTCCATAAGGTTTAAGGTTTAATGTGTTTATATATTGTTGTATATGTGGTTTGTTGTTCATGTTTTGTTAAACAATAGTTTATGTTTTCTTACGTTTATTAACATTTTCTTAAATACATATTCCTGAACTTTTATCTTTCTTCTGTCTACTGCTATGTCTAACATGACATACTAATGTTGCCAACTAACAATTAATCTGGAGTTATACACCATAATTCACTATATTTTTTCAATGCATCACTCACTGGATAAGAGAAGAACATATTCAATACCATGAACAGGAACTTTTATTGCTTGTGTATTATTTTAGTTTAAATAAAATATTATATAAAGTACTTTGCGATTTTATTTACCCCCTCTTTATTCTTTTGTGTAAATCAATTTTTATAAATATATTTATTTCTATACACTGAAAATTAAAATTATTCATCGTTCGTTGTTTCTCACTTATTCGAAATATTTTATATGTTTACGATATTAAAAATAAAAGCAATCAAACCAATAGTCATTATTTATTTAAATGAAAGAACTGTTCCAAATACCTTTCAATTATTGGAACTAACTAAACGGGAAATATCGCAGTCTATCACCTCGCCTCTTTCCCCGCGCCTATAAACTTTTCGACTTCAAATTTAGGCGAACAGTGTGCAGGGCATGCCCAGTCCATCTTTATTTATACGTCTATGGTTTGCACTGATTTTGTATCGAATTTCCACAAAGCTCCAGGAGCAGAGACCCAGGTACACCAGATGCTTTGGAGAACATCTTCGTCATGACATTGGTGTTCAGTGACCCCTATAAGTACTACCCCAAGTAGTAATATTAAACTCATTTCCGTTAACTATTTCCGATTTACAAATTTATGATTTTTTATCACTTTGGAAAATACATTTCCCTTGTTAAATAATGCAATTTTCATTTTTACATCATTAAATTTCCTGACACTAATACGAATCGAATGAAAAAAGTTTCATTGAAATCCATCCTACTGCAAAAATTTGGTAAGTTTATTACTTTATTACCTCGCCTAAATTGCTTGTTAAGGAGATAATAAGTAAATATGTATACAATCACAATAAAATATTTTACAGTCTGGTTATTTGATAGCCATACTTCGTATATTTAAACATAAATAAACCTAAGTGACTTAGAGAGTTTAGAAAAGTACCTATTTAGAACCTGCAGTTTGAAACAATTGGAGAGTAGCTAAGAATACAACATATTTAGACAATAAAATCAATAGATGCAGAAGTATATATTGCATACAATGTCAATTCGATATTAAAATACATAGATACTGAATGTTGAGTTGTAGAAGCTGAGAGTAACAAACAAGGTATCAAGTTCTGGCGTAAATTACCAGTAATTAGAGTATAATCATGTTATACAAACAATAAAAAGTTACACGATTTACTGGTTAGAAGATAGAAACCAGGAGCATACGATTACAAAAACTGATTGGACTAGTTAGTATCAGCATTTACAATCTCTTTGGTCAAAAATATAAATTAGTTCATGCCTATGTATGTAAAAAAATAATAAAAAATTATAAATTTAGAAATTAAGATAATAATTTCGTTCAGTTAAAATCCTTTGATATTATAACATAAGAAAACGCCACGCATTTCGAATGATAAACATTAAATCTCACCCTACAAAATAAAAATGACATAATGGTGATCAAACATAAAACGACATTTAATCAAAATAAATAAAAGCAGTCTAAAAACAAGAGTAACCACTAGATCTGGCAGAATCTGGAATTGACAAGACCAATTACTCACGTTGTTTCGGTAAAACTAACCTCCTTTTTTCTGTTTTTCTTCTTCCTGTCATCGTCACTGCTTGAACCATCATCAGAGTCTTCATCTGAATTAGACTCAGACGAAGCTTCATCTTTCTTATTCTTCTTTTTCTTCAATTTGTCTTTAGATTTGCCGGATCTAAGAAAAAAAATAAAACCATGAGATTTTTACACAATAGTTGGATTAGAAAACAAATATGGTTTTGTCAGGAACATACAAGTATTTATATTTTTAAATAAGAAATTAAATTAAATCGTAATTAGGGAAGTTTAAAATTCGTATTTATTGACAACATACGATTATGTTATATAATACAATTTGTTTAAAATATTATTAAATTATTTAGTCACCCAACTGAAAGATGGCCCACGTAAACAAGAAGTCTAGCTAACTTTTAATCGCCCCAAATTTAAAAAAAAATTAAAACTAAGGATAGGTCCCATCATTCATTATTCCGTGTATTACGAGCATGATGTATCCTACATCATGCTCGTAATAATGCGTGCTTTGGTTTACATTGTATTTTGGCGTTTATCGCATTTTGTTATCGCTGAAAACGACGGACAGATTGCAAGCGAAAACTATTCAAATTATTCAAAAGTCCTCTATATATAAATGAATACGAAAAGAGATAAAAGATAGGTTCAATGATTCATTCCAAAATTGCTAACGGCAGATAAGAAAAAGATTCGCTTAGAACTCACACTGGATAATTTGTAGATGGCTTTAAATAATCATTACTGATGACGAATATATAATTAGGCGAATTAAACAGTATGTTTCGCACTCATTATCACCACCATAATGTAGGTGACGAATCGTGGGTTACAGGTTACTATCACGAAACAAAACAACTATCTGCACAAATTTCTATTCTGTACAATTTCTGAATAAATTCTTCACATTTAAAATATAAAGGCCATAAGTTATCATTATTAGAATCTATGGAAATTAACAAATTAAAAATTACAGATATAATACTAAATAACCAACTGGAGGCAAACAGTTCTCCCCCTTTAACTTATTCAATTAAAGACTATAAAGTGAAGAATAGCTCACTTGAGAAAGACACTCAGCTGTAGGGATAATAGATTATAATAAAATTTGTATAAGTGTTAAAATCAAAACTTTTCAGCGTTTTATTGCTTGATAAAATAAACTTTCATCAAGTAACGGTCGAATCCATCCCGAAATGTGCTCAAATAATTATGATTCAAAAACAGGGCAAACCTCAAGATAGAATATTATCTTGTCGACCAATCAGCCTGTTGCCTACAATGACTAAAATATTTTTGATAGATTCCATGTGACACGAAATGCCCATATAATAATCAAAAATCCTCACTGCCCTTGAGGAAAAAATATTGCACAGGTGCATTCTTAAATCTAGAAAATCCAATTGATAGAGAATGGCACAATAGACTCTTATACAAACTTAAAAGCATCATACAAATTCCCTACCATCTTATTTAAAATCTTATGTCAAAGATCGTTACTTTCAAGTAAAATATAACGACTTCGACATACTCTTCAATTAAATCAAGGGTGCCAGTGTGGTGTGCAAGGTCCCCTCCAGATTTACTGCAGACATCCACACCACAAATACAACAAAAATCTCAACTAACCCCATCACGGCATCCACAAAACCACCTTAACCAGCTCTATATAGCTCAACAGATGGAAAGTGAAAGTAAAATGAAAACAAATCAACTTCAAAGTCACTTTCACGCAAATCGAAGAGATGAGTGTCCAATTTCACATCCATGTTGAGAAAACCCAGATTAGCATTAAAATAAGACAAATCTCACAGGCTCACAGGTCGATAGATAGAAATCAAAACTGACCATAGAAAATAAGCTACTCATGTACAAATGTATAAAAAAAAACCAGTTGGACGTATGGTATCCATCTTTGCGACTTGCAAAGAGTTCAATTAAAAATATTAAGAATTATGTATGTTGAAAGCTTCCGGGTTAGTAAACAATAAAACCCTAGAGGATAACTTAGCTATATTTTTGATAGAGGAAGAAATTCGAAGAATATCAAGAAATTACCTTGACGGACTGAGACATCTACCAAATGAAGAAGCATTTCTAAACTATGGCCAACAAACTTAATAAATTAACTGTGTGAACTAATGTAAAGTGTTTAAAAGATGGGTTGTCAGACGACAGCTTCTCTCTCATGTGTGAACTTCCAAACCATTTACTTATAGTTTCAAACGAACCAGATTGTAAATTAAACTGTACTAAAAAAATCATTATTACTGCGATTTACCTTCTTAGAATCGCTTACATCCTAATGCCCATCTTTTGTATTACCGATTTCAGTAGATAAACTCACAAGCAGTGAGTAGGGTAAAGTTGATATCTAATTATTTTTAGAAATATTCTTACATTATTTATAGTATAGATTATTAAATTAATTGTGTAATCCGGGTACAACTGTTAATAGTGTTAATGATATTATAGAATTAGCAAGTTTCATGGAGACTTAAGCTGCAGACTCTGTAGCAGAAAATCTGCGCTAACTGTTTACTTAAGGAACAAGATTCCAACGCTTGATAAAATTATCACATGTGTTCAAGACTCTATATTTCTTTATTTAAAGTAATCAAATATTGAATTTCTTGGAGGAGAATAAGATCTGAATGTAGCACGCGCTTCCGCATTTCAATGGTAATGTCGCTTCATGTAAATTCGGTCTGTAGTCTGCCAAGGACGGATGTGTAGTTGCGGTCTCATTCGAGCAATATTTCCAATCACGAAAATTTATTAAATAAACGCTATTAAATAAACGATAAAGGGTATGTAGCACCCATGTGTGAGGTTTGCGATATTTTATTAATTTTTCTTATAATCATTTTTTAGTGAAATGGCTTCATGTAGTTGGAAAGAAAACTGGGAAAAACGTCGTCCGTTGACCCAAGCTGAAGTGGAAAGGGAAGCTGAAAATTTATTTGCTAATGAAAACAACGAGGATGATGGTCAAAATATCTTTGGTACCGATACAGAATCTGAGGAGGATTATGTCGAAGAACAAAACTCCAATACCGATACTGATGAAAGTGAACAAAGTGATAGTGAAATAGATTATGAACCAGTTTAAAATGTTGAAGGTTTACTTGGATCCAGACGATGGCAACTAAGAATTTTTCTTAACATGCTTGATGCAAGTCGTATAAATGCAATGGTGTATTTTCTTTCGCAAATCCCCATTGGAAAGAAAATGCATCTTATAATAGAAGATCATTTCTTAAAGTTTTTGGGAATGACTTTAATTGAACCACTAATGCGAGAGAGACTTCAAATAACTACTTTACAGAAATTATTCAGGCAAACAATTTGTGGCATTTGTGTGTTAAAAAAAATCGGTGTGATCTTCCAGGGTTAAAATACTGCAAAATAAACTTATATATTTGTTTTACTTTCATATAGAAGCACATATGAAGCAATGAGTATACTTGGGAGGGCTCAGAAGGAACTACGACAGAATTTTTAGCTTAAGCTTTCTTGATAGTGACGGTACCGTACGCGACGTGATTTTGATTGCTTTCATGGAAGAATCTCATTCTGGAAATTACCCAAAAAGTTGGGCAGTGATAAATTGAGTAATCACTTCCGTCTACGTCTAAGTCCTACAGAAATATTTAAAGGTAAGTGACTTGTGCGTAAAGCGTTGAAACATTTTCTTTTCACTATCCCTATCTACTATCCCAAATTCTCTAGAATGACATTTTGGAAAGTTTTGAAAGAATTGGATTTAAGTATAGAAAGTATATGAAAGACTCAACGAGCCGTGGTAGTTTCTTCCAGCCTAGCCTAGTACATTACCTAGACGAAACATAGATTACTACAGGATACACTGTTTCTAAATAGTGGCAAGATGAATCAATTAAAATCAGAAGGCAGGCCTTCTTAGAATGGATGTAAAAATGTCTGAAACTTTGATTTATACATAATCTGAATTTTATTTCAAAACGTACTACTATCACGAATTCAAGAAATATAAACATACCAAAATTGATTTGAGCTTCAGTTAAGTGGGAAGCTAGACGGAAAATCCTAATTTCAAGAGATGCGTTGTTAACCAATTCTTTAAGTACCATAAAGACAATTGGAAGAAATGCTATTACTTTACTGTTAGAGGTGGAAGTACCTACATAGTAGAGACACAGAACATACGTAATTTATAGTATTGGGGTTTTAATTTAACTGGGGTTTCTGTCTCCGGCTTCTATATAACATGTAGCTTCTCCTTTTTAAAAAATTTTAAAGTGTTTGTTTGTCTTTGTGTATTGTATTGTTATGTCCAAATTTACATGTATGACATTCTACTCATGTCGGATAGGCCACAACTGACGAAATGCCCCTGAAGATGATCTATTGATCGAAAGTAATTGGGCAAGATTTAATTAATCACTGTGTTCGATAGTTGCCTTGTATACTATCAAAGTTTTAATTTTAATTTTGTGATTTAATGTTTTAGATATTTAATGATGATTTATCATTTTACGAATTTTTTTACATATAAAAAAACTGTAAATTTGCGTAAGTTAACTATAGCACTAATTTAGATTACAAATTGGAATAGGACTTGGAAATTACTAACAAATCTGTGAAGATTTAAACAAGAAATTATCTGTATAACGTCATTATATCAATTGGTTTTTTGTTTTGATTACTAAAAATGAAATAAAACAAAAAAATTGGTTTTATTATAAAGATAATATTAGACTATGTCGTTATTATAGAGAAATCTACCTTTTCTATAACTGGTATGTTCCTGAGACAAAAGCCTTAAAAATACAAAATAAAAACAACAAAACCACAGTGTTTATTTAAAAAATACTATAAAACAATATGTATTTTTAGTGAGATTCTATTGCATGAACGCACCTTCCACTGTTCCATTGTTCGGGTTCGAGGATCGGCTAAACATATGCAAGTAGAAACAAGTAAAAAAAGTTTTTTCGTGAGAGAAATGGAAAATTAAAATTGGAATCCATACCATTACCTGATCATATTATAGAGCCTTCTCTTTATAATGTACGGCAAAAAAATATACCACCAATATATTAGTATAGAATTGAAAAACAATCTCTAAATAGTAAACACAACAAAATATGTATTTTTGTTTAAATTGTAAAATGTTTTTGTACTACATCTCACAAAGCAGACGGATTGGAATGTATCATCCCCCACTTCCTCTTTTGATTCTAGACTAGTAGGTAATTTTTTATTGCATGTAAATTTAAGGAACAAAAGTCTAACTTCATGTTCGAAAAAACACATTTGGCATTCGAATTGTTAAATGAGTAATTCCTAACAATTGGCTCAAGGTGGTGAGGAGCGAATAAGACATCCATATTTAAGATTGCTTGAGTTGATTTAATCAATTTAAGTAAAAAATTGTATATAACTGCAAAGGAAATAATTTAATATTTGGATATGGAGGTGTTGTATGAAGAAAATAAGTTTTACTAAGCTAAAGCGATTGGGTACATGTGCTTTTTCTTAATAAAATGAAACCTGAACTCTATAGCATAACTATAAGCTCAAAAAAACTGGTATTTGCGATTATTTGATCCTAGTTAACAAGCATGAACATCTGGTGTTAAAAGGATTCAAATAAACTTCGATAAAACTAGACCCTTAAATTTACACGAAATAAAAATAATCTCCCTTAGTTAGATTAGAAAAAAATAATATATATTTTTGTGTGATGTAATTTTTTCCAAAAAATGCTGTATTACGAATCTATTTACCTCTCTAGTTTTTTGCTTTTTCTCCTCTTTTTCTTTTTAACATCCTCGCTTGACAAACTAGAAAAAAGTAAGTATCTTTTACATTTAAAAACAATTAAGACTGTTTAATAAGTACCTGAAAATTAATGGAACTAGAAAACGGTAATAATTCAAACTTCGGTCCATATAGGCAGTAGTAATTTGAGTAATAGATACGGGTTGAGTTTACCGAAAGTACAAGCTGATTATAGCCGCAAATGTCAAACATGAAACAAAAAATTTCGGTATAGCAGTGTTAGCATGTTTGTATAAAGTAGATGCTGTATGTTTCAAATATAAAAACATAAAGCTTTAGAAAAGTACATTTTGTTTATATTATGTTATGAATTCTGCAATTTTTGATTTATATAAAACAACAATGAGTAAATATTTGTTTATTTGGAGATTAATTGCAGTTAATTATTATAATTTTTTTTAGCAATTACACTTTGATAGATTATAGGATGGATTTGGCAATCGTCAAATCAGTAGTTACCAGATTATAACAGACATTTGCAATTAATCTCGAAAAGACAAATATCTACTCGTTATTGCTTCGTATAAGTTAAAAATTGCAGACTTCATAAAATAGTATAATTAAAATGGACTTTTTAAAAGCTTTATCTCTTTGTATTTGAAGCATACAAGATATGCATTATAAAAACATGCCAACACTGGCAAACCGAAATATTATTGACATTTGTGGCTATATTCAGTTTTTACTTTCGGTAAACTCAATCATATATACGTTATATTTAGGAGTGCAGTGTACAACATTACTTATTCTTTACCAAATGAAAATATTTTCCACTGTAATTTTGTATATATTTACTGCATTTGTCTGTCCATCTATATACCGATACATATTCTAGTTTTTTTTTTGACAGATTTATGTGTTTGGTAGTGTTATCTGGATCCGATTTATTTAAGTAATGCCGCCCTAATCAGCCCTTTTAAAGACTGCATATCGAAATTTCACCATATTGACGTTTGCTATACTGTTAATTTTAACAGAAAACCATTACAAAAATATGAAGACTAGAATTATAATCCTTCCTGCATCACTCGCGCTATGAGTATTTCTCTCACACCTACCAGTAAAATGCAAATTTTATTAACGGTAAATCACGCATACTGCTACCCCCACTTCTAGCTGAGTTTCTAAGGGTCTTCGTTGTTACGCTTGAGCGCATGCAATATTTAGTGCATGTTGGTAATAGATATCGGGCACTTGTCGATCGTGTGCAGATCTCTGTGAGAATTTCTCTCATCGCGCAAGTTCTAACGTAGTATATTTTCTTAAGGTTGAATAAAGTTTTGGTAAGTAAATTTAAGATTTTTTTATACATAACTACTTTATTTGCTTTTTAAATAAGGTCAAGGTGTTCTATTATTGTGGTATTGTTATTTTAGATAGTAAACAATGAGTAGAGGACTGACGCTTGCAGAATTAGGGCGAATTCGATATGAAGAGGCACAAAGAGAAGGTATGTCAGCTAACATACCATGGAGTGGGCAAGAGGAATGTCAAAATCAAGAAATTATGGAAGATGGCGGACGAGTGGATGTTGAAAGTGACGCTTCCAGTGAACATAGTATGCATAATACCGATTCCGAACAATCTGATGTAGAAGTTGAAAATTTTGTTTATGAAGTTGACGATAATCCCGCATATACATCAAAACATCATTTCACTGGTAAAGACAAAAAAACTCACTGGATGGCTTATCCTCCACGACCTAACGTAAGAGTGCCTACAAAAAATATTGTTAGTCATCTTCCCGGAGTAAAAAATATTGCAAAAGATGCAAATACTGTCGAAGCATGCTGGGAATTATATATTACAAAAGAAATGGTTGAAGAAATCGTACAATGCACAAATATCTATCTAGCAAAAATACGAGGTAACTATACGAGAGAAAGAGATTGCCGTGACACAGACGCTACAGAAATATATGCTTTTATCGGCCTCCTATACATGGCTGGGGTACGAAAGGCTCAATATCTAAATACTAAAGAACTTTGGGCTGATTCAATATTTGCTCCTGCTTGCTTTAGACTAACGATGTCACGAGAACGATTTCATATTTTAGGAAGAGCACTAAGATTTGACAATATCAATGACCGAAACGAAAGAAAAAAATACGATAATTTGGCTCCCATTCGAAACATATTTGAACAGTTTGTGTCCAAGTGTCAAGAAAACTACCAAGTTGGAGAGTATTGTACAGTGGATGAAATGTTGGAAAGCTTTAGAGGGCGATGTAAATTTCGGCAATATATAGCCAACAAGCCGGCCAAATACGGCATTAAAATATATGCCTTAGTTGACTCAAGGATGTTTTATACCTGCAATATGGAGATATATGCAGGAAAACAGCCAGTTGGCCCTTTTTATCTAGACAACTCTGCATCTGCTGTTGTTATGCGTATAGCAAATCCCATATTAAACACAGGTAGAAATATAACTATGGACAATTATTTCACGTCAGTGCCGTTAGCCAAACAATTACTTGATAGGAAAACTACACTTGTTGGTACCCTAAGGAAAAACAAGAGGGAAATTCCGCCAATATTTATAAATGTGAAAAGACCTGTACCTAGTAGCATGTTTGGTTTCCGAAAGAATACTGTATTATTATCGTATAAACCCAAACCTCAGAAAAACGTATTGATGTTATCTACATTTCATTCTGGGGACTACATCGATCCTGAATCTGGCGAACTGGAAAAACCTGAGATCATTACATTTTATAACCTAACAAAAGGAGGTGTCGATGTGGTTGATGAATTAAAATCAACTTATTCTGTTTCCAGATATTGTTGCCGATGGCCACTTAGAATTTTTTTTACAATTTTGGACGTTGCTGCTATTAATTCCAATATTGTATATAAAAGTAATACCGAAGTTATTGAAGAACGTAGAATTTATCTCAATCATCTGGCCGAAGCTTTGATTAAACCTCTGTTGATTCGTCGTTCATCGATCAGGTCTTTGCCAATTAATATTCGAAGCATGCTAAGGGAATATTTAAATATGCCTCAGATTGAACAGAACAGAGAATCTGTTCCAGATTTCTGTGGATTTTGTCCAAGAAGAAAGAACAGGAAGTCAAAAAAACGATGTGTTAGCTGCAATGTTGCCATTTGCACGGAGCATACCACCTTCACATGTCCAACGTGTTCTGGCGTAAACGATAATAGTGGTACTTCAGATGATTAAATTTTTGATTAATATTATGTTTATTTTATCTGATTTAAGGATAACATTAATTTAAAGATAGATGTAAAATAAAATATACAGGGTATTTTTTTTTTAGTTCTTAGCATTGTATAAGTTTTCTTTTTAGTATTTTTAATGTACTTATAACTCTATTTTTGGCATTTATTTTGAATAAACCCTTTTATTATTACCAATAGTTTTGTTTCATTTGCATAAAAAAAAATAAAAACAGTTACACCGAACAAAATCTTGAAGGGTTCGTCGTGTGAGAGAAATTCTCACGCGCGAGTTCTCGCGTAATTTTTTAAGGCGCGAGTGATGCAGGGTTAAAAGTGATTTACTTAAAAAAATTTTAAGGCGTAAACAAAAAAATATAAACAAAATAGAAGGAAAAACTAAGAGAACCAGAATTCGGGTTTCGAGATGGTCTGGGAACACAAGATGTCGTTTTTAACGTACATTTAATAATTAAGAGAAGAGTAAAACCCGTCAAATTAATAACTTCAATGAGAGAAACTATTATGGATGACAAAAACCTGGATATTATCAAAAACATTAATTACAAGCCAACAGTCAAAATCAAATCTATGACAATTAGTAACCATCCAATCCTAAACGCCCAATTAAAAGCATTGTACATATCTCAGCAGCAATCTAAATAGCCAATGGGATTAATAAACAGAAATTAAAAAACGAATAATAAAAGAGCAATCATTAGAAGACCCGTTTTCAGGAGCCGAGACATATCATTAAAAACAAAATGTCGACTACTGATATTAACTGTAGCAACTATATCTGTTAGAGGCTTTCGATCGATGCAATCATACGTGATGTGATGAGTATAGGTTTATCCTACGTATATCCTGGTTTGACGGAATTACAATGCCGAAGTCCGGTGCAGAATGGAGGAGGAATGTGAAATTCTGATAACGATCAAGACTCAAAAGTTAGAAGCTCTGGGCACATAATGACCTTCTCTAAGTGAAGACAAATGAAAAACAAAAATAGAAAACTACTGGGTTGTTCCGTGGCTGCGGCAAAGTAAAGATAAGTAAGACAAGTTAGCAGAATTATTAGATGCGTTATTCTGATGGAAAGCACTTCATTATTTACAAATTAAGAACATTTCTCTTTAATTCTCGGCACGGAGGAATAAGAACAAAAAAATATAACTCTAAGGGGATATATATATATCTAAGGGGACATAGACACGACCATTAAAAATATGAGCTTTTACATACAACATTTTAAACAGGCGGAACAGCACTGATGAAAATAATCAGCGAGACGATACGAAGTGGATGGGCACCTTCGTAGTAAGAGATATTCTCATTAAGTACAAAAAATCTAAACTGCGACTTCACTGATATAGGGCAATCCAATAAAGGAACATCAGATCAAATAGCTTATTACCTAAACGCAAAGTCCAGCTCAAGATCGCAGAAATCAAAAGTAATTAGCACACAATTTTAAAGACATTGCCTCGAGCCACCATCCACAAATAAAGAACTTAACCAAGTCATGCCCTTACTGAAGAATAGCTAGACAGCTGATGTGAACGAGACCTGCGTGGAACAAATAAAAAACTTAAAAACAAGAATATCAGAATTAAGAATATAAGAATAGATAAGAATAAAAAAGCTGCAGGGTGCTAAAACTTTGAAGGAAGGTCACAAAGGTCCTAAATCGCATAGAAAACACAGTTAATTAGAATCGCATTTAACAATAGGCTGGGTTCACACGAGATAAATCATGCACCAGACAAATTGTCACAAAGTACATGAAAGAGGGATACGACAATAAAAAAAAAATAACA